TAACATTTGTCATTTCGGGACCTTTCATAGCTGACTATGCGGTATGGGCTTTGCTCATTGTTGAAGGCCGTACGGTGACCTATAGCTGTTGATCTTGTGGAGAGTTGTCTCATTGGCAATCATACCACATCTTCTTTTTATACGCACGTCAAAATTTTGACGGGACGTATTGTGGTATACAAATGTCCGGCGTCCGTCTGTCCATCTTCCGGCGTAGGTTTTCGTTCTTTCTTGCTGTGTGGAAAAAAAATCTCAAACAAGAAAAATTGTTCCAAAGTTTTTATAATCTATTGTTCATGAACAATGTAAATTGCTTTTTTTTTTAAAGGCGATTGATTTATCAAAGACAAACTATGAATCGTATAAATGAGCTTTGATTTAGGGACGACATCAAAAGATCAATGTAAGATAAAAAAAAATACTTAATTCAAATATTTGGGGGTGGGGTAAAAAGTGCTGCAAGTTTTGTTTATTTAACATCGATTTTACATATATCTGTATTGGTCAATCAACTTGATTTTTCCCAAAATTAAGTTAAGAGGGGGAAGGGGTCAGTGAAAAAACTATGTGAATTAAGTTTGTTTATCCTACATTGAACTTTTGGTGTCGTCCCTTATTGTCCTGTGAATTTTTATCCATGACTTAATTCAGGCAAATTCTTTGCCTTTCTTGCACTGTTGAAAATAAGGACAGAGGGACATCAGATATAAATTCTGTTAGTATTAAATCGCACTGATAGCAGTTACAAAATTTTAGATAAGTGAAAATAAGTTGAAATATGAAAGAAAACTTTCAAATAAGTATTACTCCTAAACACACATAAAAAGGGAGACCCACTATAAAAGCGCTTGCGACCTAACTCACTTCATGATGATGTCTTTAGTTATTGCAATTGATAAATCTTCACTTATCAATCAGAGAGAGAGCTCTACTTATCAATATCAATAAAAATATATTTTAACTGTTGAATGACTTATTCTTCAATTATTTAGTCTTAGAATTTATATCTTTAATTTTCACCAATTGTCTAAATTTGATTTATTGAACCTTTTTGTCTGCTTACGCCTTACCTAATTCAAGATGATTGAGATATGTTTAGCCGTTTTTACATAAAACATTTAAAAAATTAAAAACATCTAGCTTGTAAGTTATTTCTTCAAAAACATATTTAGCATCATTTTAAAGCAAACTTATTTGTCCAAGGCATAAATAAATGATTGTACTGAAATGAATGAATATATATAGCCTATTGTTAGAAAGCTGGACAAACTTCTGTTTGCTGGTGTTTATATGTTTATAAAAACACAGCTGGTATTATGCCATATAATTTCATTACTAATAGTGATTAAAATGCGTAATCTACGGTTCGGTACCAATTTCGTCGTCAGTGCTAATGAAAATATTACATTTCTTGGTAACAAGGATGTCATATAACCTCCTAGATGGTATTTTTTAAGATATATGAACATCAAAACGCATGAGATACGTTTTATGAGTGTTTGTTAAAAAATGTCATTCAAGATCAATTAACAAAAATTATGGATTTTTTACCTAATTTTTCAAAATAATTTCCCCTTCGTACATTGATTTATAATCTCGAAGCGGTTTTGATCTCAATATCATAGCCCTTTTAAAGACCACTAACTCAAGTATCGTAATTTATAACTCCCGTGAAGACGCGAATTAATTTTTATCAGAGACATGTCTCTGTTGTATTTAAGGTAGATCATAAGTATATACTTTTTGAGACAGAATTTTCTTATAATTTGCCAAAATGAAGATTTTACTATGCTTTTTTCAAAAATAGAATAAAAAGTATGGGTCACCGTGCTATTTTTCAAGCTATGAGTCGTTGAAAATTGCCTAAATTTGGTTAGATTGTTCATAAAAAAACACATTTGTGTGCATAAAAAAAATTCTATTTGATAGAATTCTATTTGATAGAATTTTGAAATAAATTGTGAGAAGATAGGTTTTATTATATGTTTTAAGAAAATTAAAGGAAAAAATGGTGTCACCGAACTTGTTTTCTTGCTACAAGTAAAAATTAAAAATTTCCCTATTAGTCCAGTATAAATTTTTTACTAAAAGAGTTATCTCCCCTTAAATGGCTCATTTGAAAAAATGATTTTGAAAACAAGAAAAAATGATATTTATTTAATATTTTGAATAATACAATAAATCACCAAGTTTTTATTATATAAATAAACAGTCTAACCATTTAATTGCTAATCTGTCTCCAAACTTGCAGATTTGGGCAAATAACTAGACCGATTTTGAACTGCGATTGTACAATTCAAGATGGCGGTATACCATAAATCTACCTTAACAAGATAAGTAAATGCAACGACGTCTATTGGAAGGAGTTAAGAGTTATCGTTAATTATCTACTGTCCAATTTAAACAGATTGGGTTATCTCGTTTGGAAATGTGACATATTCTTGCACATGAAGTCTTTAAAGGATTATAAAACTTGATCTCTTCTGATGTAGAGCAAAGCATAAGCTACTTGTCAAGCCGCTCAATATTTATCCATAAATGTTTTGGAATTGGAATTGTGTACTGCAGTCCACTATTAATTGTAATAGATTATCATCAAAATCAAATAAATCCTCCACAAGTGGCAAATTTATCTTAGAACTTAGTAAAGTTCTTAGTAGTATTATGAATTTCAGTATATCATCAGTGAAGTTATTGGATACAGGAAACATCGAGCGCAGCCAAGAAACAACAACATAATTTAAGAGAAGCTTCATTATTGCTATTTACTTTATCTCATCAAATATAAAGTTGTGTTTTGGATGCTCACATACTTTTCCAATGAAAAATATAAGTAAAAGACTAATTTGTATAAAACAAGGAACTATACTAATTTCGTCATGGTCTGTTGCAATGGTAACTTGTGAAGTGTAAAATCTGTTTTATTTTCGAAACCTATTGTACCTTATTTATTGAAGAACATGTATGTGAAAAATTTTATTTTCTCTAATGTTTGGGACAAAAAAGAACCTTATTGTTCCTATACAATACTGTACAAAGATGACTAAACCCAATTACTTGAAATCCAGGGATGTATAAATACGTAATATATAAATAAAAATGCTCCTGATGTCAATAGTTCACAATATATACTATATCTGATGTTCAGGAGTTGTCGTTTGTTGATGTGGTTAATAAGTGTTTCTCGTTTCTCGTTTTTGTCGAGCCTTCGACTTTTGTCGAAAAGGCGAGACATAGTGATCCTACATTCCGTCGGCGTCGTCGTCGTCATCGGCGTCGTCGTCGGCGGCGTCCACAAATATTCACTCTGTGATTAAAGTTTTTGAAATTTTAATAACTTTCTTAAACTATCCTGGATTTCTACCAAACTTGGACAGAAGCTTGTTTATAATCATAAGATAATATTCAAAAGTAAATTTTGTAAAAAAAAAATTCCATTTTTTCCGTATTTTACTTATAAATGGACTTAGTTTTTCTGCCAGGAAACATTACATTCACTCTGTGGTTTAAGTTTTTGAATTTTTAATAACTTTCTTAAACTATCCTGGATTTCTACCAAACTTGGAAAGAAGCTTGTTTATAATCATAAGATAGTATCCAGAAGTAAATTTTGTAAAAAAAAAATTCTATTTTTTCCGTATTTTACTTATAAATGGACTTAGTTTTTCTGCCAGAAAACATTACATTCACTCTGTGGTTAAAGTTTTTGAAATTTTAAGAACTTTCTTAAACTATCCTGGATTTCTACCAAACTTGGAAAGAAGCTTGTTTATGATCATAAGATAGTATCCAGAAGTAAATTTTGTAAAAAAAAAATTTCATTTTTTCCATATTTTACTTATAAATGGACTTAGTTTTTCTTCCAGTTAACATTACATACAGTCTGCAGTTTAAGTTTTTAAAACATTTATTAGATTCATAAACTATCCTGGATTTTTACCAAACTCGGACAGAAGCTACTTACAATCAAAAGATAGTATAGAGAGGAATATTTTTATTAATTTTTTTCTTCATTTTTGTTGAGCCTGCGATTAACAGCAAAAGTAGGCGAGACACTGGGTTCCGCGGAACCCTTACGATTTTTTTATATAGATTAGACCGTTCGTTTTCCCGTTTGAATGGTTTTACACTAGTAATTTTTGGGGCCCTTTATAGCTTGCTGTGCGGTGTGAGCCAATGCTCCGTGTTGAAGGCCGTACTTTGACCTATAATGGTTTACTTTTATCAATTGTGACTTGGATGGAGAGTTGTCTCATTGGCACTCACACCACATCTTCTTATATCTATATACAAGAAATGTGTCATCACATCGCTGTTCTTGTTTTCTTTCATTTTCATGGTTTGTTGACTTTTTGTTAAAACAATTTAACAACAATACCCTTTTACTAGAATATCAATCTTAAAGCTGACAGAGAACCTTTCACTCTAAAGCCGGTACCAGAGTTTCCACTGTAAAAATAGAAAAATCATTTACCAGAGACATATCACCTTCCACTAGGTTTTTGGGTTAAAACGCAGCTTCAAAAAGAGAAAATGTAATAAGGAGATGTGTTTAGATTTTCAAATGTGTTATCTATCCATAAGGACATATGATCATCACTTTTTTCATTCACTCTCTTTGAGTACTTCAAACAAGATTCAAAACCCTTGAAGTTTACCAGAAAACTATTTTTGAGAAAGAAAAAACTTCTTTCTAATTGATTAATCTATTTTCTGAAATTCTTCTTATTTATATAATGTTATTTCCTTGATATATAAAATACATTTCATCTGCATTTCTAAGTATTTTTATTAATAGTTTGAAAAATTTTGAAGTTTACATTTTTTAATTGCGAAGACATTAACGGCGGTAGTGAGTCCGTATATTATCAGTGAAGTTATTGGATACAGGAAAAGATGAAATATCCATAATGTGTAAGTTGTCAAATTTGTTTATTTCTGTATAAAATACATAAAAATATTAATGGGATAATTTTCACCTAACCTTATTCATGTTATTGGCTTTCGGCTTTGAGCGTTCCTGGTTATGATGGTAAAGCCAGAAAAGCGTTTCGGACGACTGAAATTTAAAACGTGTTGTTTTCATTTTATTTATATTATGGTTAAATTTCCTTGAATTTGCAGTTTTCAACAAACGATTGAGGAGATATTTTCTACTACAAAACTGAATCTATTTATCGTCATTTATTAGATGAATCTGACATAAATTATGATCCTTCTGAATCAAAACTTAACGTTTTCTTATACATGCAGATGCAACACTTCAAATATACATGCATGTGTAATTGTCTTGTAAAATTGATGCTTGTGTTATATATCTGTTCACAATACTCATTATTATGCGTGGTGTTTGTAAATAAACACCTGTGACTTGTGGATGAAGGTTGCATTTTCAAGATTTATTTATCTGAATGAAAAACATATAAATGTGATTAATCTATTTCATTGTTATTGTATTTTTGTTGAACATTCTGTTTGTGAAAGTCGATTTTCAAGGAAGTTTAATAATAAGGTTAGATGAAAATTATCCCATTATTTTCATGTATCTTATACACAATTCCTATGCATTTCATTTGATTTGATACATTGTTCTGAACTTCATGCAAAACATAACTAATAGTTTAGAGTTGATATTAAGCAACATTGACACAGCTAGAAGATTCTCCTCTAAGTTTAATGATTGTCTACAGTCTGTATGCATAATTGCAACTAGCTTCAAACTTCATCTGATTATGCATGCTTAAAATGTTTGCGATAATAGGTTTCAGAAACCAGAATATTCAATCTCATAAAGTTTAGCATTTGTGGAACTATTCACTGGTTGAGAACATCCAAGATAAAATGTTGTTGCACAAGTAAAAGCAACACAGTATGGATACTCTATACCCATGTCTCTTGTTTTATAGTACGATATCAGGTTACAAGAGTTGTCAAGAATATGAAATGCATGGCAGTTTACATCTGGTATAATAATGTTATTTAAAAGCGTACTTGCTATAATAACCGGTTCAAATGGTTGATTCTTATTGTTTAAATCTGGATGCCCGTTGTATGTATTCAATATACTTCCATCTTTTTTAAGTGCCAATATTCTGCTGTTACATTTATCTGCTTGAGTAAAATCTGCAATAAAGATACATCCGTCACTAGTGCTGGTTATACTGTTTGGAAATGTCAGTAATCTCTGTTTGTTTTTATCGTACTCATACACAGTTTCATGGATCCCGTCTTTATCCATTACAATCACGACTCTTCTCCCTGTGACAGGTATTACTTCACCAGTACTCTTTGCGCCTACAATAACTTTACCTTTTGTAACATGGACTGATATAATCGATAATGGGTCCACGTTATATTTTGACTCTTTGACTTTTCCACTGGTTCGTCTGATAAGTTTAAGCCTCGGTGTTGCATTAGCTAGCAGAATATCGCCATCAGGAGTAAGTGATATCCCTCTGATTGCCGTCTTTATGGTTGATACTGTAGTGGGGTTGTCTCCATCAATATTCATTCTTTGTAAAACTTTGTTAAAACCATCACCTAACCAGCATGATCCATCAGAACAAATAGATAGAAAGTGGCAAGACTTTAACCCAGTGACGAACTGCTTTTTCACTTTCATTTTTATAATATCAGGTTTATCTCCACAAGAGACATCAGTTAGAGAACCAAAAATTGACGGCGTTAACTTTCTTGGCATGAATTGTGATGTACAAATATTGCTTAAGTCAATTGGTTGTATGGCAGTGTCTAAAGATATCTTTACTTTGTCAATATTTTCAAAAACCTTTGCAGGATCTGTGGACTCAATAAGTTCACCAATTTTCTGAAACTCTTTCTGCATTTTTACTCTAGAGTCCATTGTCTTTTTCTGTTCTTCAGATATGAAATCTTCATTGAACTTCATTTGTTGATGTACTTTTTTCGAAAATTCATCGGCATGTTCTACTAATTCTTCTTTCTGAGCTTGAATGTCTTGTAAAACTCTCCGACCTTTACACGACTCTGATATTCGCAACTGGTTGAGCTTTTTTTCGTCATCAGCAAGTCCTTTTTCAGCTATTTCAATTTTCAATTTTCTATTCTTCAGTTTGTCTAGCTCCGTGTCATATACTTCCTTTATTTCAGAGAAACTATGCCCAGTGTGAATTTTAGCGATGCATATTGGGCAAACAAGATGGTCACAAGTACTGCAGAAAAGGCAGCATGATTGGGCTGTGTGTTCTTTACATTTGATGGCTGTAAAGTTAAGATGAATATTACCCAAACTACATCCAACTTCTTTTATATCTAAAATGGTGTGGTCATCTGCATTTTTAAACTTTGGATGAATTTTCTCGCGGCATTTATTACACATTAGTAAGTCACAATCTAAACACTTCCATTTCAATTTTGTCTCGGATTCACAAACGCCACATGAAATAATATCCTGAGCTTTAATGATGTGTTTTGATAGCGCCATTTTGTTTTAAAAAGATGTGTACTATTTTACATCCTCTTAAATACTGATAAGTGGATGAATTTTTTAAGGAAGAAATTGAATCAATATATGTTTTTATGTATATATATGTTTTTATCTGTACCATTAACACAAGTAATGAGGAAGAATTGACGGCAACAAATAATTGAATATCATTGTTTTAAGGTATTGGATATGAAAAACATAAAAAAATGATTGATATATGGGACAGCACAACTCTTTGAATAGATAGGAAAATAGACGATAGAGTTACGAAAAAAGAGCCGAAAACACCTTTTAATGAGTACTTTTCGCTAATGAAAAGATGAAATAGGTTTATGTGTTCAGAGAGCCGTTTACGTCAGATGCAACAACTAAACGTCACATAAAACATAAATCCAAAAGCTGTCAAAATACGTATTCAACAACGCAATATGTCAAACTCTTCCTACACTTATGAGTAAAAGGAGTAGGTTCACGTTGGTTCAACATTTGCCCTAAAAATTCCATCACATTTAGCTTCAGCATTATTTGATTAACATATTATGTACAAATATATGACAAATACAGATTTAACCAGCTCTGTCGTATTAAAAGAGGAGTTAGGTCATATATAACGTGAGAATAGTGCATTCGTACGATGAAAATCATAGTTTTGTTTTATTTTCCCGACAATTTTCGACATTGGCCAAATGCATGGACCATCATATTGTTGTATAAGGATGGATATCTCGCCCATATACATCTTTATATAACAAATATATGGTCGAAGGACGTGGTTAATATTTTCAGAAGGAAATAGACCTTAGAATTGCAGTTAAGTTGAAGTCTAAAAACTGGTAATTTTTTTCCATATTTGTTACGCTTGGAGGGCGTATTTTTTCAACGAACAATTGGCACTGTTATAGGAACAAACTATAGATGTATGCTCCTCTTCATGCCGACATGCTCCTTTATTCATATGAAGCAGAATTCATACAGAAGCTTCTCGGAGAGAATAAAAAGAGACTAATGTTATCCCTTAACTTCACGTCCTGCTATATAGATGATTTCCTCTCACTAAATAACTCAAAGTTTGGTGACTATTTTGATCGCATTTATCTCATCGAACACCAAATATATGATACCACAGATACAGTCAATTCTGCCTCGTACGTTGAATTGCATCGAGAAATTGAAAATAAGGGTTGAATGAGAACAAAACTATACGACAAATGGGATGATTTCAACTTCCCAATTGTTTACTTTCCATTTCTATGTAGCAACTTGTAGCGCCTGTATTTGAAGTATATATCTCCCAGTTGAAACGTTATCCCTCAGCTTGTGTTTCCTATCATGATTATCTTGATAGAGGGTTGCTGCTTACAAGGAAGCCATTAAATTAATGGTTACAAATGGAGATTTGTATGTCCCCATAGCGTTTTCCTCCTCTTTTTAAAAGCTATCAGGCGAAATCAAACAGAAGACAGAAAACGCGTCTAGTTTATCTACATATGCATATATTTAAATATTGTAAATATTGGAATTTAGATATGGTATTACAATTTTCCGTTTTAGGGCTAAATTTCGGTCTTCGTGTATCCCTTCTACATAAACAGAGAGACTATCAAAAATCTGCCATTAACACCACATGACTAAAACAATAAGATAAATTAAAGTCAGGTAAGGACTTGGTACAATCATGTTAAAACAAGCGAGGTAAAATTAGTTTCAAGATATCAGCCTTTCACCGTTTAAACTCAACCAGTAGACTAACAAAGGTGCGAAATAACATACAATAATAATAACAAGCAGTATAGGAAAACACTTAAATTTAAAATTACGAAATAGCAGTTTGGCGTTCTTTCTTTGCATGCCAATTTGAAGGCTATACGGCATATCCAACCAGAAAGCTTCATGATTTGGGATCTTGGAAATGCCGTTTTCCATCTTACTTGATACAATATATCCCTCATCTGAATTATTATCCAGTTCCGCTTTTAGCCCTCAATGCAATCACATCATATCCGCAATTACATTTTGATTATTTTGACATCAACACCAAGGACAGATTATGACTTTTTGAAAAGTGCACAGATTTGAGAACAGACAATTATTTTCATTTTCCTGTGTTTAAAGTTATTGCAAATGGATGGTATTTTTGTTCGAGCATATTGTTTTTCTTTAATTGTTTAACATTTCTTACCGATATAACATGTTACTTTTATTATTCTTCCCTTAGTTTATTTATTTTGTATTTAAAATTATTTATTTTGTAAAAATATTTCCTTTCTCTATTGGTACTGTACAGGTATACCTAACAAAAAAATTATTTTCATTTACCTGTGTTTAAAGTTATTGCAAATGGATGGTATTTTTGTTCGAGCATATTGTTTTTCTTTAACTGTTTAACATTTCTTACCGATATAACATGTTACTTTTACATTCTTCCCTTAGTTTATTTATTTTGTATTTACATTGTGTCATAGGTCAAATTTATTTGTTCAGTGGATGTTCAATGGTGTTGATATGTCCTTTGATTGAGTTAAGCTATTTCAGTTGATATTTTATAGTGTGTCTTTCTATGTTGTGATGTTACACTAGTGTTTCAGAAAAAGGGTGAAGGTTTGGTACCATTAAAACGTTTAAACCCGCTGCATTTGTTTGCACCTGTCCTAAGTCAGGAATCTGATGTTCAGTAGTTGTCGTTTGTTGATGTGGTTCATAAGTGTTTCTCGTTTCTCGTTTTTTTATATAGATTAGACCGTTGGTTTTCCCGTTTGAATGGTTTTACACTAGTAATTTTTTGGGGCCCTTTATAGCTTACTGTTCGGTGTGAGCCAAGGCTCCGTGTTGAAGACCGTACTGTGACCTATAATGGTTTACTTTTACAAATTGTGACTTGGATGGAGAGTTGTCTCATTGGCACTCATACCACATCTTCTTATATCTATAAGATATATGTTTTTGAAGTATATGATTACGTTTTACAACCACTGGGTCTGTGCAACTGCTGGTGGACGTTTTGTCCTCTGATTATCACCAGCCAAGTAGTCAGCACTTCTGTGGTGACATGAAATAGCAGTGATACGGTGTAAATTTTCTGTTTATACAATTGCGAATTATCCAAAACACTAAGGGTTTCTTGTCCTGGTCTAAATTCCATAGCAGTATAATAACACATCTTTTCTGAATTTTTGGTTTTCAATGCTCTTCCATTTTGTATTTTAATTCGCCCTCCCCAAATGATTTGATTCAAGTGCCACTGGTGAGTCTGATGTAGACGAAAGTCGCGTCCTGCTTAACAAATTATAAGCCTGGTTTCTTTGTTGGTTTTTTTAAGCAAAAGTATGTTGGCACACTTTAAAGTTATAAAATGAAACCTGAGGAACCAGCACATATCCTGACGACATTTTTTTAACACAATGAAAATTTGCATAATAGGCCTCATGTGATCACGTTTACCCCTTCCATTTAACGCCGTTACACTACATTATTTGAGACAATTTGTTTGCGTTAAGTCTTGTTTCTTTGTCATGTTGTTTACGCACATATATGGATGGTTAAGGGCTCAAATTAATATCCAGAATTCCAGCAATGTGATTCAATATGCATCACACATCTATCATGTACTGTTAAGTGACAATTCTTCTCTTACTGACAAATATATTTTCTGTAAAAACCGTCTCTTTAAAAATATTTTTAACAGATTATTGTATAGTATGCTATCCTATTTTGGCTCCATATCATGGAATTGGCAACAAATATGTATGATCGTAACACTGAATTTCTAAAAGAAAAGAAGCTGGATGATGTTCATCTAAATTTTTATCACTTTGTGAGTAGAAGACTATAATACTTAAATTTGAATATTATAATATTTCTATGGATCCCAGTGTTGCAGTGGTGAGCTGAACTAACATCGAGCAGGAAGATCGAGTGTTCGAATCTCATAGCCGGAGGTGGACAAATTATTTCCAATATTTAATTCAACTAAAGTTAACTTTATTTTCAAAAAGACAACTTAATACAAAAGTCAGATTAAGAAAAATATATGTTTTTTTTCTAAGAATTTTGGTGCCTAATTGCACCAAAACTCTCATTTGATCTATGATTACGGTCCATGGTGTGCCACCAGTGTATAATAGCTTATTCATTAGATATTTCCTTGTAAAGGCTACATTTGTTTTACTGCTTGAACTTGTGTCAGTGATTGGATTTGGACGAAAAAACGCATTCAAATTTTCAGAACTAATTGGTTACTAGATGTTATGTTTTCTCTCTCTTTTCTTACAGAATGTCCAAGCTCAGAAAGATGTACTCAACAAACACGAATATCAACTTACTAAAGGAGTAAAACAAACAATGAAGATCAGTGAAGATTCTATTTATTTCGAACAGAAAAAGGACATTGTCAAAGAGAGAAATTGATGCAGGTATGCATTAAATTATACAATCTCATAAATTCCATAAATCCTTTAAATTTTGGAAATATTGGTATTGGAAAATGAGTCTTAATAAACTGCCACACAACTTATAAACCTAAAGTCAATTAAACTATGATAGATAACTCCAACTTTTTTTTGTCCCTGACCTTCAAGCAGAGATAAAAGTGATTAGAAAAAAAAAGGAATTCCGCACTGAATTAAAACATTGCATATATTTATTTTTTTTAGTTTTGGGGAGTGATAATTTTGTTCTCCCTGTTGAATACTCTGAAATATTAAAGTCATCAGAAAGTTCCCTTTTATGATTTTATTTTTATAGTCATAACTTTTGATTTGTATTGGGTGTATTTTACATTTTTATGTGTTGAAAGTAAAGGGTTGTACTACTACATCTAATACCAATTTCTTTTATACCTACTATTTGTGAGCTTTATGTTTTAAAACATTGGATGATTTTTTTCTCACTGAATTTGTTTAATTTCTTATCGATGAATTAAATTGTACACAATTTCATTTTAATTTCCGATAACAAAGACAATTTCCGGAGCTTTAATGGTATATTTTGATAACCCATGTTGAACAAG